TGAGGGCTTGCCCGTGGGTGGGCGGGGGCAGCTCAACCTGGGCAGGCCAGCGGGCATCATGCGCCAGCCTTCCGCGTGCCCCGGTTCCCCTCTTCCCCCTCCCCACCTCCAGCCGGGCCACCAAGACGCAAAGTTTGAGGCCTTGCAGTGTTTTGAAAAATCCATCGTATGAGGGGACTCCTCCACTTACGACGGTTCATTTAGTGACCATTCCAAGTTACAAAAACTCCTGTTCATTTGGAATGTTCCCTAAATCAGTGTTTCTCAACCTTGGCAACTTGAAGATGTCCGGACTCCAACTCCCAGAATTCCCCAGCCAGCGAATGCTGGCTGGGGAATTCTGGGAGTTGAAGTCCAGGACATCTTCAAGTTGCCAAGGTTGAGAAACACTGCCCTAAATGACCTGTCGTGAGTCGAGGACTGTCGTATCCAATGGGTGTTTTTTTAAGCGTCACCCCCCCCTCCGTGGGGGTCGTGGGGAGGGCCCCCCCCTGCCTCCGGTGAGCGGGGGTCCCGTGTGTGGCTTGCAGGGCGGAGATGCTGCAGCTGTACGAGCGCTGCCTGCTGACGGACATCGAGGCGGCCGATGCGCAGAACGTGGACCAGCTGCTCTGGAAGAACGGCTTCTACCAGGTCATCGAGAGGTTCCGGCAGCTGCTGAAGGAGCCCTCCGCCGGGGAGAGCGCCCACGAGGGCCGCGCCAGGCTGCTCCAGGTCCTGGATGAGGTGAGGCCCAGGGACCCCCGGCAGGAAGCGCCCCCCACCCTCAGGGTCAGAAGGCGGGAGGGGTACCTGCGGGGGGGGGGGAGAACGGAGCCGTCCCGTGCAGGGAAGCCTAGCAGGGAGGACAATTAGCCGGTGGAACTGCTGGCCACCAGAGGTTGAGGGTGCTCCGTCACTGGAGGCTTTGAAGAAAAGCCTGGGCAGCACTTTGCCTGGAAAGGGAGGGTCTCTGCTAGAGGGTCTTCTGCCTGAAGACCTCCAAGGTCCCCCCCAGCTCTGATTGATTAATTGCCCCACCACTGGGCCACGCGTGGTGCAGATGAGCCCCAAGGGCAGGAGGGGCCTGAGCAGGGCTGGGAATGGCCCATGGTCTCCTGCTAGAGCGGGGAGGGGGGGCTGGACTAGAAGACCTCTGAGTTCCTCTCCCGTGAGGATGATGATGCTTCCCCCCCTTCAGGGCACCGTCTTCTTCGACGGCCTCCTCCAGAAGCTGCAGCTGACCTACCAGTTCAAGCTGGAGGACTACATGGATGGCCTGGCCGTCCGCAGCAAACCCCTGCGGAAGACGGTGAGGAGGGGAGGGGGGTCCAGGGCTGGGGGCCATTCATGGAGAGGGGGTTCCAGGGGAACGCACCGGGGGTCTTTCCCCTCGGGGAGCCCCTCCTCCTCTGTTGAGGGGCTGGCAGTCCTGGCCGTTCTGTGGGGGGGAGGGGGAGGCTCCCAGCTGCCCCTCCCTCCCTCCACCCCCTCCAAGCTGCCCCCCTGCTCTTCCCTCCCCAGGTGAAATACGCCCTCATAAGTGCCCAGAGGAGCCTGATTTGCCAGGGCGACATCTGCAGGTACCGGGAGCAAGGCAGCGACACGGCCAACTACGGGAAGGCCCGCAGGTAGGGCAGGGCTCGGGGGCAGAGGGGGGGGGGTCCACAAGGGGCTGGCCAAGGAACGACCCCTATGCTGCTTTTTCCAGAAGGGGGGGGAAAGGACTCACCTGAGCTGTGGGCCTTCCCAGCATTTGACGCCCCCACCTGAGCTGCCGCATCAGCCCTGGGGGGAGGGGGGCATAACGGGGGGGTTAATAAACAGGTCCTCCCAGGCCGGGTGGGCCATAACTGGGGGAAGGAGCCCCCGCCTGCCCTTCCCATCGGGAAGACCCTAACACTCGTCCTTGGCACTTATAGCAGGGCAGAAACGCTGCCCCCTCCCAGTCTTCCCACCCCCCCTGGCTGTAAAAATTATACAGCCCTGGAATCCGAGAGGGAGGGGCCTCAGTCCCTCTGCCCCCCCCCCACCTCTGAGGGGATGGCACCAACTCTCCCGTGGCATCCAGACTCCCCTGGCTAATTGGGGCCCAGATTGGCTTTCCCGGAAGAGGGCAGGGAGTGGGGGCTTGAGCTGCGGGAGGGGAGAGGAAGGGGGGCCTGGGCAGCTGCCAAGGGCACCAGTCCACCTGGGCGTGATCTGTGCCAGGAGCTCTGCTTGAGTGGTCGGGGGCAGCGTGGCTTAAGGGCAGAGCTGGGGCTTTGGCAACTTTCCTAAAGAGAGCAGGCGCTCCGAGGCATGGGGCACTCCCAGCGAGGGCAGGAACTGGGGGAGGCAGGCAAAGTCTGAGCGGGGGGCACTTCACGGGCCCTCCAAGTGCCCTGATGACTCCTGCCGTCCCTTGGTCAGAGATGCCCCGGGGCCTTTCTGGCCTGGGCATCAAGTGGGCAGCTTGAGGCCGAGGCTGCAGAAGAGCGGGGGGATGGGGAAGGCTCAGCTCTGCGGGTGGCTCTTCCCAGGCAGCCTCAGGGAGGGTCGGGGGGCCTCCAAAATCCCCCCCCCGGCCTTGGGCGTCAGAGGCCCAGAGCAGCCCATGGGAGGGAGGGGAGGGCGCAGGGCAGGTGCCATCCTGGCACGGCTCTTCCGTGGCTCCTGCCAGCTGCTCACTGGCTCTCCTCTCCCCCCAGCTGGTACCTGAAGGCCCAGCACATCGCCCCCAAGAACGGCCGGCCCTACAACCAGCTGGCTCTCCTGGCCGTCTACACGGTAAGAGGGAGGCTGGGTCGAGGCCAGGGGATGCTGGCTCCCCCCAGGCCCCTTTGGACCCCAGGCGGGGAGGGGAGGGGGGACAAAGGGGGGCTGAGGGGGCTCAGGCCCTGATGGGGGGTGGGGGGCAGGTAGTCCTCCTCTTACAGCCACTATGGAGGCCAAAGTTTATATTGTTGAGATTTGCCCCATTTTACAACTTATCTCACCACAGCTGTTAAGTGAATCCCTACAGTGGTTACATTAGTCACACGGTCATTAAGTGAGTCCAGCTTCCCCCCCAGCGAGTTTGCTGGTCGCAAATGGGGATCACGTGACCCCGGTGATGCGGCAACCGTCGTAAATAATGAGTCTGGTCACGTGGCCGTGGTGGTAGGTTAGAATAGAAGAGCGGAGTTGGAAGGGACCTCGGAGGTCTTCTAGTCCAACCCCTGCGGAAGTGTGAGAAAGGGTCATAAGTCATGTTTCTCAGTGCCGCTGTACCTTCGGGCACTGAATGAGATTGTTGTAGGTCGAGGGCTGCCTGTGCCTGATAGCCAGGCCATCGCTGGCGGTGGGGGAGTCCGGCTGGCCCCCCTCTGACACCCCCCGTCCGTCTCTCTGTCTGGGCAGAGGAGGAAGCTGGACGCTGTGTATTATTACATGCGCAGCCTGGCTGCCAGCAACCCCATCCTGACGGCCAAGGAGAGCTTGACCAGCCTCTTCGAGGAGACCAAGCGCAAGGTGGGTACGGGAGGGGGGGCTGGGGGGGGCTCCTGGGCTCCCGCGAGATCCTCATGCCCCCCCTTCCTCACCCCTCGCAGGCAGAGCAGCTGGAGCAGAAGAGCCCCGGGGAGCGGGGCCAGCGGAGCAAGAAGGTGGCTTTCCGGCCCTCCGGGGACGATGCCACCCGCCTGGAGCTCTGGATCCACCCCTCCCACCCGCGCTCCGGCCAGGGCCAGGAGTCCAGCCGGGACCCCGAGCAGGACGGCGGCCTGGGCAGCCTCAGCCCCAGCGAGGTGAGGGCTGCGGCGCTCCCACGCGGCCACAAGGGGGAGCTGCTCGGCTTTCTATGGGGAAAAGCCCTTGCTTTCTGCTTCGGATGGAGGGGAGCGGGCGGGGGGCTCCCTTGCCAGGCCCACCCGGGTCCCTGTGGCCCTCCCTTGTCCAACGTTGGCCTGGGCCTTTCTCTGCAGGGGGAGGGAGGCCAAGGGACGCGGGGGGGGGGGGCGCATCCACGTGCTTAGAAATCTGAAAGCATCAAAAATGTAATGGTGGCCATGAGCAGCCTGTGCTGAAGATCCTTGTGAGGTTTGGGGCAGTTTCCCCATCTCTACGCAGGGCCAACCGTGGGGGCTTCGACTCCCAGAATCCTCCTGGCTTTGCTGACTGTGGAATTCTGGGAGTGGAAGTCCAGAGGTCTTTCTTAAGTGCCCGAGTTTGGAACCCCCCCCCCCCCGCTTTAAAAGTTTCATTTCTAAACAACATCAACAACACCCTTGGGGGCCCCTGCAACATCCTTCCGGTTGCACAGAGGCTTCCGGAACAGTCTCAAGAAAGTGGAGCCCCCCCACCCCCCCTTCGCGCTTTGGTCAGTGAGCTCCCCGCTCATCTCCCTGCTTCTTCTTCTTCTTCTCGCCTCTGCTGAGCTGCAAATGGGGGCGCATGAAGAAAGAAAGTGGGGGCACCAGTGTGGTTTTGGGGGACTGGTGGGAGCTTGTGGGTCCCACTGGAGTAATCTCCCCCCCCCCTCCCGAGACCCAGGCAAGCGTTTTGGGCTGCCGTTGGGCTTCTCTGCAGATGGGGGGGTGGGTTTCTGAGGAAGGGGAGCAGCCCAAACACCTGTGGGCGTCCCTGGAAGCCCTGCCTGGGCTGGAGGGGCGTGTGGCCCATCTGCTCCCCCACAACAGGGGTGCTGCGTGCCAGATCCCCTGGGAGCCTACTTGACCTGGGTCACCAAAACCACCGGGTAGCTTTATTTTGAAGTGAGCCGTTTCGTTTCCAGCCGTGAGGTTTTCTGGAGGAAGCCGCGGGTGCCAGGCTGAGAGGGGCTGGTTAGAGGCAGAAACCACATGCCCTCCTCCCACCCCACCCCCACCCACCCCCTCTGCCGGGAGACGTGACACACGGCACGCACTGGCCCGGCTGGGAACGGAAGGGCTGTCAGGGAAGTCCCCCCCCCCCCACAGTCTCCATAGGCCGGAGTTCCTTCTCC